CCTGCCTCCTCCCGCCTCCGCTCCGCCATCGCCCGCCTCCGCTCCGCCTCCGCCCCTCGGCCGCCTTCCGCCTTCTCCCGCCTCCGCCCGCTTTCACTCCGCCCCCTTCCACTCCGCTCCTGCCCTCCCGCCCCCTCTCCGCATTCCCGCCTCCATCCGCCATCGCCATCGCCTCCGCTCGGCCTGTGGCTCCGCCTGCGGCTCCGCGTCCACCTCCGGCTCCGCCATCGCCTCCGCAACTGTCTTCACCCAATCAGAACGCCCGGCCAATAAAGTCGTTTCCGGTGCAATTTTCCGTCTAATGATCGGGCGCTCTAATTGGGTGAGGAAGAGATGCATAAGGTCGCCATCGCCGCCGCTCCCCCTCCTCCTGTTCTCTTTCCTTCTTCGTCTTCGTCTTCGTCTTCGTCTTCGTCTTCGTCTTCTTCTCTCTTATTTCTTTTTCTTTTTCTTCTTCTTCATCTTCTTCCTCTTTCTAGAAATATGGTCAATTAACCCGACTAAGTCGCTAAGAAACGCTGAGTAATTTTTTGACAAAAGTTAGGCAGTTGACTATCGATTTGTTCAGTGATTGTTTTTGTTGTGCATCAGCATTTCTTCTTTCTTCTTTCTTCTTGTTCTTCTTCTTCTTCTTCCTTTTCTTCTTCTTTCTACTTTCTTCCTTCTTCTTCTCCCTCTTCTTCTTCTTCTTGTTCAATCTTCCTTTGCAGCAAGTGTGTACTCCCAAAACTGTTATAGGCCTTTAACAAGTGTGTGCTCCCAAAACTGTTATAGGCCTATAACAAGTGTGTGCTCCCAAAATTGTCGCAGGCCTAAAAGCACCTTTGCACGGGCACACACTCAAAGGTCTCTCACGAAATCTGTCCGCACCTGCAACTCAAAGTTGACGCATACGGACGCACGCAGACACACACAGACGCACACAAACACGTGCAGACACTCACACTCGGTAGAGGCCTCTGAGAGCCTCTGTCCGTACTAAGCACTCTCGCACATTTCTCTTTGTGTGCAGTCCGTTCGCGACGATGAAGTCAACCCAAGGCGCGAGGGGAATGACTAAGGCGAGAAGCTCCGGGCAAGCCCGAACAGTATCTTCTCGGGGGCAGCCAGCGTGCTCAGGAGGGGTTGTACAACAGAGGCAACCACTGCAGTCTGACGTCTTTCCAATCGCAGTGGGAGAGGATGATGCTCCCCACTGCGGAGAAGGAGACGAAGTGGAAGTTTTCGAAGACGAAGGGGAGTACGACGAAGAAGGTGAAGGAGAGGAAGAGGCAGGAGATGAAGAGGAAGAAGAAGAGGAAGACGGAGAGGCAGGAGAAAAAGGAGCAGAAGACGAAGAAGAAGCCGACAAAGAAGAAGAAGGAGAGGACGAGGAAGGAGGAAAAGAAGACCAATGGAGGAGGAGGGTTGTTGGCAGAGAGAGTTCCTTGAGTCGCGGCCTGTTCGCGTTGACTTCAAGTTGGAGGAGGAGGAGGAGGAGGAGGAGGACGACCAAGAAGAGGAGGAGGAGAAGGAGAAGGAAAGGGAGGACGACGCCGAAGAGGCGGAGGACGAGGAGAGGTGGAGGGCGAAGGCGGACAGGGAGGACGAGGAAAAAGTGATGGGGGGGGGAGGAGAGGGTCACCGAGTCAGGGGAGTGGGAGACCAACTATGTCGCGCCGACCCCCCACTCCCGCTGTCGTGTGGAGGCCGGCCCTACCACGGATTACAAGGTCGCCTGACTTCCCCAGTTGCTAGATCGTTGCCTGGCCCGCGCTATACGCTCCCCCCTTGCATCTCCTAGCTCTCTTGGCGGCGCCCCCTCCCTTCTTGTCTCTCTCTGTACGTCAGGCCTGAACCCTCAGGATCCCCGTGCTCCCGCGGGCTGCCCAACTCCCTCGCCGACGCCTTACGACCTGAGACCCAGAGAAACCCTCAACTAGTCCGGGTTCGAGTCTGCGCAGACCGAGGAGGTGCACAAGCGGTCTGGAGCCGATGGCTCCCGCGCGATGTGACTGAGGGCTGAGTTCGGGAATACCAGTTTGTGGCTCGAGCCTCTAAAAGGTTCGCACAAGTGGACGGATCCAGACCGTGCTTTCAAAATTCGTGAGCCCGACCGAAACATAACTCGGAGACCTCACAGGGAACCGAAACCGAAATTCCATTAACTGTACCACAGAATCCACGCGAACGACCCGAACTCACACCACAACCCAAAGTTCGCAAGCACAACTAAACTGCAAATTGAAGTTCACCCGGAAAAACCAAACTCGAACTGCAACAGAGAGTTCGTGAGCACAGCCTGGCCGTGATTCAGAACTCACACAAATCAACCCGAGCCACACTGCGACCCAAAGTTCGCAAATACTGCCAGACTGCACATCGAAGTTCACCCGGGAAACCAAACTCGAACAGTAACCGAAAGTCTGTAAGCACAGCCCGACCATGATTCGAGGTTCACACGAATCAACCTTGGCCACAATGCAATCCAAAGTTCGTTAGTACAACCCAACTGCGAATCGAAAACCCGATCTCGTACTGCGACCGAAAACTCCCAAGCACAGCTCGACAGTAACTCGGGATTCACACGAATCAACCCTTAGCGACACCGCGATTCAAAGTTCGTTAGTACAGCCCGACTGCGAGTCGAAAAACCGAGCTTGTATTGCAACCGAAAGCTCACAAGCACAGCTAGACAGCAATTCGGGATTCACTCGAATCAACCCTAAGCCACACCGCGATCCAAAGTTCGTTAGTACGGCCCGACTGCGAATCGAAAAAAAACGAACTCGTACTGCAACTGAAGGCTCACAAGCACTGCCCGACCGTAATCCAGAGCGCCTGCCCGGGGATGGACAGCGATAGTGCTGATCCGAAAAATAGCTCCCCCATAGCTCAAAGAATGCGCGGAAAGGAAAAAAAATCGGTAGACCTGCTCAGACCAACCCTGGTTCGGGGTTCCGATCCGAGACCATTGGCAGCTTGAGACCTTCCGATGTCCTAGCTCCTTCAACCCTTCTCTTTCTTTCTTCCGCCTCTCGCCCTAGCCCCCTCTCTCTCTTCGTCTCTCTCTCTCTCTTTTTGTCCTTGTCTCTCTCTCTGTCTTCGCCCGACTCCGACCGTTCCGAGAAGCCGTTCTCTCACATGGCACCGAGAAGCCGGCGAGGGGCCATATCTACTGGCGAACTCGTTTTCGTGCCACCTAGCTCTCTCCGAGAGGCAAAGAGCAAAGTTACGGACTGGACCACGTGCGCCTTCCTCCCTTCCTCGCCCTCTCTCATGCGTGGCCGTGAGATCCCACCCCTTTGATTCTCGCTCTCACTTTCCTCCCCCTTCCATCTATCCCAGGTTCATGGAGGGGCCCAAGCACCTCCCCCTTGTTCCCGTCTTTCACTCTCTCGAGCTGCGCGACCCCTGCACAACCGCCCTTGCTTGCTCTCGCCAGTCGCCGGCCGCTGATGGTGTTCGACAAGGCCACACGCACTCCTCTTTGTCTTGAAAGCTCGGATCTCCTCCGATAGTGCGGCAAGACCCCACCTCCCCGTTCCTCCTGCACACTTCTGCGAACGCCGACGCGCTTTCGTGAAGCCGGCCCTCGGCGCCGTCATGCTTCTCAGTCAGCAGCTCTCCGGGGCGCGGAGTCACGACGACGACTCCTGCACAGCGTGGAAGCCGCTGTCCTCCCCCCCGCCTCTCTTTGTCTCATTCCGACTCCCTTTCTCTCACTCCTCTCTCTCTCTCTCTCTCTCTCTCTCTCTCTCTCTCTCTCTCTCTCCCCTCACGCGCCGTGGCTCCCTCTCTCTGACTCTCGAGGGCGCTTCCAAGGCATTGTCTCCAGGCAGTAGCCCCATCTCTCCTTCCCGTGTGCGGAGAGCCCCGAGCTTCCCCTTCGTCGTGCGCACTGTCTTCCTTGCTACCCCGAGCGCCTGTGCGAGGTCTTTCTCCTCTCGTTCTCAAGTCCTCCCGATCTTCCGCCCGTTGTCCTCGTTCTTCTCTCGCTCCCTCTCTGTCTCTTTCTCTCTCACTCAAGAGCTCGCTCGAACTCGAGCTTCCCCAACGTGTGGACGGACGTTTAGAATAAGTGTGCGGATGTGCGTGAGGAGCACGCTTCCTCGTTCACCCCCCCTTTCTCTTCCTCCCTCTTTCCGTTTATAGTCCCTGCTCCTCATCAACTGTCGCAAGCCTATCCTCTCTCCCCTTTTGTTGGCCAATCAAGCTACCGCCCCGACCAACTCGACTTTCCTCGCGAAATTTTCGTCAAAAGTTCAATCTTCCCGCCATACTAGTTCTGCAAGGCCCCTACCCTCGCGCCTTTCCCGCTCGGTGTGTATCAGCCATTCGAATCAAAGTATTTTTCCCGCTATTGGGCCAAGGCACGCTCTCTTACATGTGGATCCTGTCGCTCGGGCAGTCATTGTGTCTGCATTCCCCACCTCTTCTCCCACTGTCACTCCCTTCTTCGAGGTCGATCGTCTTCGCCCTCCATCCGTGTGAATGAGCTCGTGTGACAGTTATCAAGAAGACGAGCGCGCGCGCCCCTCTTCGTTGACGGTTACGTTCATCCTTTCTCGCTTTGGAGTTATCCAGCCCCCCCCCTCTCTCATTCGCGCCTCAGATCCTTCCCCCCCCCCCCCCCCCCCTTTTTCCTTCTCGCCCGAATCCCTGGCTTCAGTTCTCGAGGCGACTCTGGCCAGCGTCTGTCAAAGGCTTCCCCGCCAGCCGCACAACATTCGTCTTTGTAGTTTCATCATTCCTGACGTCCTTCTTCCTAACGGTTGGTCTCCCATCGCCTCTCGGCTGGCCGTTCCACTTCGACGATTTCCCCCTTCTCTTATCGAGTTGGCTCTCGAAAAATCTTATTTTTTGTGGCCCGCTCCCCTCTGTTTGAGGCCGTTGACTTGTTCATCCCCGCGCCAACCGGGCCGAAGGTTAGTGTCGGATCCAAGATCCCCGGAAGTTTTTCTCAAGTTCGTACGCATTTCCCCTAACCTCGGGGCCCTGCTCTTACTCCTCTCGAACAACCCCCCTTTCCCGCAACTCCTCCCCAGTTACTGTTTTTTCTCTCCCTCTCTTCATTCGACCCACCCAGACGTGGCCCCATCTTGTCTTGATCGTAGTCGAGATGATTCCAATTTCCCGGCATTTCCATCTTCCGTAAAGCGGACCCCTTTTCTGGCGTCCCTACGATCACTCCAGACAGACCATCGTCCTCGTTGAATATCTGTTTTCTCCTGGTCATCTTAGCTTTTTTTTTTCTCTAAGGCCTTCTCTCCTTAATTCGGCTCGCGTCAAGCGTCGCTCGCGCCCGTCTATTGTGAACTTTCGAAGGAAGTCGATGCGGCATCCCCCATATCCCAGGGTCCCATCAAGCTGCAGCCCCCGTTACGAAACCTATCCCGACGCGATCTTGTTTTCGTTATGCGCCTCTTCCAGCCCCCGAGAGTCAGCTCCGTTCCTCGTTGCACGAGACCAAAGCTAGTTCGGCTGCCCCCACGCGGTCAACCCTGGCTTCACGAGCTTTGCCAATCCGAGTTTTTCCTGGACCACCCCAAAGTCAGCCACCAATCCTTGATTCCTTGCCTCAGGTACTGAAACTCGGATCCTTCGGGATCCGCCCGAGCCCGCTAGCAACCATAGTTTGAACCGTTATTCTGGTCCATTGAAGGGTAAGCAAGAAGGCCCAACACCCACAAGCCCCAAAATCACACACATGCAAACATCTAACCCATGCGAAAACATCAAAGAAAGGTAGAAATACTTTCTGCCTTTTAAAAGAAAGGCCCCCCGGCTGGTAGGCAGCCGCCCGACAACCACCCCACACCCCAATTCTCGCCGTCCCCGACGAGCTTTCCCCATAAACCCCCCCCTTTCCTTAATCTTTTCCCCATACCTAGCGGTCATCCCTTTAACGTATTTTTCTCGTTTCCATGGTTCGCATTACCCCCCTTCTTGTTGAATTACGTTCATCCCTAGCTTCCCATTCCCACAAGACTTAACTTTTTGGTTTCTAAACTGCATTGCCTCAGTTTGGCACAGTTCCCCTTAGTCTCCCACTTTTGGAACTAAGATAGATACTTCTCCTAACCACGGTGTCGGGACTGGTGGGTCCCGAATAACATCCCATCACTCGAGAGACTGTATATGACGGAATTGTACACAGCAGAGAAAACCGGAGGCAAGAAGGACGGAAAGTGTTCAAGCACTGGTATAAGGGGGCATGGAGGTTGCCCGGGTTGTCGGGGCCACGAGACCATGAGAGGAGCAGTCGAAGGGCAAGCTGCAAGGGATTGCGAGAAAAATAATCAAGGCGGCCGCTCTCCCGGAAAAGGAGAGGGACCGCGGAGAGAAATAATGACATGGGGCGCGCGCCGCAAGGAAAAAAGGAAGGGAGAAGATGACAAGTAAGGTGCCGACGCATGAGGACGTAGCCTGGACCAAGGGGGCCACCGGGATGCGATGTCGAGAAAACCAAGGGGGCCACAGGCCAAGTTAGAACCCGCGTCCGGAGAGGACGGTGTACGGGAAACGAGAAGGACGAGGGAAGGAGGCCACCATAAGGCAGAAGAATGACAAAGGTGTCGGGGACCACCGGCGGGACAAAGTGTCGGGGACCACATGGGACTAAGCAAAAAATGCGGTATCGGGACAAGTACTGGCGGAACCACCGGCGGGACAAGTACCGGCGAGACCATCGGCGGGACAAGTACCGGCGGGACCGCTAGCGGAACTAGTGCCGGGGAATAATGCGGAACAAGTGACGGGGACTTGTGACGTCCCAAGGAGAAAT